TAAATATTATTTCATTATTGTTGTATAGAGCACATTTGTAAATGGAAATTTAAAAAATGTAATCCAGAAATGAAACATAGTAAAAAAGAAATCAATGGATTTTATGTGTTCAAAAATATTTTTAACAGCTAATTATTTTTAAACTTTTTTTTTTTTTTTTTATGTTTTCAGATTTCTCCTTTGCAGATGGAATTGCATTATTTTCCGATTAGGTTTTACTGATTATTTTCTCTTCCCTTCTGTCAGATGCATTTCTGTTGGTCAGCATGCGTCAAAACTAAGGGTTTTTATCAGCCTTGAAGTGAGAAAATAATACAATTTATTAAACTTCTAGCTGGGGATTCCCTTTGCAAACAAACAGCGCTATGTAAGTATTATAAGAAAAAAAAAGTTTAGAGTCGGTTTCTTACTTCTATTCCTATTTTGTTATAATAATGGTTGTTAAGAATAAAAACCCACTGACTAACAAACTTTTGATGAAGAGCAGAAAAAAGAGGAAATGAAGCTGCTCTAAAGAGTCTGTCAGTGGCACATTTATATCATTAACTTAGCAGCCACATCTGAACCCCTCGGCAGTTTTAGCTCCATCCTATTCCCAGATCTATTCCTGGCTCATTCATCTTGGAATCAAACATTTTTAACACTGGATCATTACTAAGGGGTGGACCTGTTCTTCTGGTTCAATTTGCATGTTTTCTTAGTCATAACAAGGCTTAGATGAGCTACTCTATAAAGCCTGGAACTCAACAATACTCCAGACATTTGAAATTGAAAAAAGCTACCTGGATGGGAAGCGAAACATCTTCAGACTTGGATAACAAAGTCCAGTGGATTGTTATTTTTTTTTTTTTGTACTTCTTTTTTTTTTTATTTTTGGAACACTGGATCTTTGACTCTTTCTCGTTATTTTTCCAATTTGCTACAAGCTGCTAACTGGCTTAGCCACGGTAGTGAAACACCTCTTTGTTTACCTGCTGTGCACATGCTCAGTAATGGACCTCGCTTGTAATTATATGTATAAATAAAAAGCTTTAATCTCTGCTCAAAAACAAAGCGGAAAACACAAAAATAAATAAAACATCAGCTCTAATTTGTAAAAAAAAAAAAAAAAAAAAAAAAAAAAAAAAAAAAAAAAAAAAAAAAAAAAAACCAGAGTGAGATACTGGAGTACACATTTAAAAAATGCCAAACAGGACTATGTGCCTCTAATGATAAAAATCTTCTAGAAAATGATGAAAAAAACAATTAGTTCTTTATTTTTTTTGGCAGATTTGTTTAATTTTTCCCTAATATTTTAGCCCAAATCACCACCTAGCTCTGATTACTATTTTACCTTTTTAATATATTTTGCATTCTCTTGCCTTTTACTTTTGATGATGTCATGGCCCCACTAATTAAAACAATGTATATATATATAGTATTAAATGGTCATCATTGCTTTGGGGACTGGCGGCCTAATGGGAAGGGCATAGAGCTTGGAATCCTGAGATTCTCAGTTCAAGCCCCACTCCCACAGACTGCCACTCTGGGTCCCTGAGCAAGACCCTTAACCCCAGACTGCTCCCTGGGCGCTGCACAATGTCAGCCCACTGCTCCCCAAGGGGATGGGTTAAATGTTGCTCTGTACTTGTGACAGCGTAATGATAATAAAAAACAATACTACTAAAGGTTTGATTTACAGGAACATTTCCTGCCTACAGGTCCTTGTTCATCTGGCTCAGTCTGATGACTTTTATTTACAATGTTTTGAAATTTTCTTTATTGTCTAAAATAATTTGTTTTGTTTTCAATCCAATCAGTTTAGATCAGTAGTTAAGATGGATTTAAATCTCTTTAAGAATGTCTTTTTATTCACTTTTAGACAGATTTTACTTTGAAACACATTAGCTTGGTTCTACGGTAAAAACATAAATTATGATGCAGACTCCCATCAACAGCAGGTAGATACTGACTACTAATTACTCCACAGACCCTCACTGAGGACAACCTTTAAATCCTTTTAACTCAAAAGTTTTGTAGAACTTCCTATAACCTTGTTTTTATTGTAATGTTCGGGAGACGCAGACTCTATCCTATCAGAGGAGCAACGGATCTAGTCATGCTACTGATTATTGGTTCACATTTAAACGCAGCAAGATTTTCATCCAACTTTTGACAAAAAAAGAAGAAAACTGATGAAAGAAGAAGGAAATGGGTTTTTGATAAAATGTTAAAGGATTTATCTTTCTTAGGGTCAAATTTCTTTCCTTTAAAAAGTGTCTTTTCATTCCATCATTTATGATAAAAACAGAAATAACAATATTAATATTAATAATTCCAGCATTAAGTTGATGTGTTTGTATTTTTTCCAGATCCCAAGTTTCAGCTGATGTAGCATCCCTGTTGCCATGGGTTACGATGTCTCCTCCAGATGATGCGTCTCTTACTCTAATACAGCCTGTTACAATTTATTCATTTCTTTTAAAAAGTGCATTTGTTTTTGTTTTTTTATTTCATGAAATAATAAAAACAAAATAAAAAAAATGGGTGGATAATAAACGTCGTCTCTCTAACATTCAGGTAGCACGTTCCATAATTTGCTCACAATATCTGGTACATTCATTTTACGGCGCCGACTGCCGAGTTCTGCTCTGAGCCAACAGACACAACATGGCGAGTGGGAAACGACTTGTTTCAACTGTTCAACAAGATGGTTAAAAGTAGAAATGTTTCATACTACACTTAACATAAAGACTTGCCTTATTATTTACAATATATACTGTAAAACTGTAAATCAGGTGAGATAAAAAGGCACAAGTTTCCCTTTTTTTAAATACATGTAAACATCTTGTCAAAAAGCATGCAATAACATTTTGTTTTACAAAAAGGATAGCATTTCTAGACAAAGTACTTAAATATTGTTTTCCAGCAAAATATAATTCTCTCAAAAATACTTTCCTCATTCATTCTATGAACTGTTAGACATTTTTATTCTTTAAAAAGGACAACAAAATGGACTAAATGAAGAGTCAGTGTTAGGGAGGCTGTGAAGTAAAACCAGTCTACTAATTATTGCAGTTGGGGAGAAGAAAAAAAAAGACTTATTTCTGAAAGAGGGGAAATCGGGCCCAGGTTCTTACTTCATGCTCTGTCCCATAATTCATGGTTTAAAAAGAAACTAGTTATCAGGAGAACATTTGACACCAACCTCGGATAACCCAGTTCCCCTCGGATAAAACGGAACCCTCTCCTCTTTCTGATCCCTGTTTCTGTTTGCCCAAAAATGAACTTCAAGCTGCAGGAATGCAGCAGTTGAGCCGAGGCCATGAGTTAGTGAGTCTGGTTCTTTTTTTTCCAGTCCCACCATGGAGACATTCAGTCAGGAGAGTCCAGCCCGTCTACATTATAAACTAATTTAAACATTTTCAAGTTTTTGGAAAAATATTACCAGTAGAAATGCACCGATCACTTTTTCTGACCTGCTGAATCCCATTTTAGCTGTTTCTTATTCTATTTGAGAAAAAAAATTATATGCAGCTTTAAAAAAGCAGCTAATTAATTACTGATATTTAGAGCAGAGAAACTGCAGCGTGTTCGATCGAGAAGTCGCTGCATATCCCAGTTCGAAATGCTTTGGCATCTTTAGCCCCTTTCATAAGTAAACTACTGGGACCACAAGAATCTGCTCCTTTCACAGATGCAAACCTGTCCCAGTAAACTATTGGTTCAGCTCTTTTTACACTCAACCTGGAAACCATGGACTGGATCTACCTACCATCACCTGCAGGTGGCAGTAATCTAAACGATACAGCTTTAACTGATCAAGCAAGAAATTATAAGTCTGGCAAACAGGACCTGTGGCTCTTATGTTGTTAGTGGCTTTTTGGGTTGGCAGGCAGGCTTTTAAAAGCAGCACTAAATAACATTTTTACCTCAATACGTCTCCTTCTATGTCCCTGTGATGGGAATGTGTCAATGAGATGATAAAGTGGCCTGTCATATCCCCCTACGGGCTCTGGTTGGAAATCCATGCTTTCTATTCCAATGAAAAACTGGTGTCTGCAGCTCAGATCTTGTTCTCTAGACAAGACGAATAGCTTTACGGCAGCCCATTGTTTGGGCTTGGCTTTGTTGGCAGTACTACCCACCTCCCTGGACATTTGGTCGTTATATGCGTCTTCTATCGGCTTACAGAGTTACAGCTTTGTAGCTGTCAGTGTTTAAAAATGTGCTATTTTAAAATTGTCCAGTAGGGGGAGCACCACAAAAAAATTACTTAGAGCTGCTATGTTATTAAAAAATTTACTTTATGTCCAGTGTATAATCTGTTGTCCCAAAGAGAGGCTAGCTGTTATCAAGTCATATGTAACTGAGTCCCAAACTTCCTGACAACCAGCGTTCTATTTCAGTCTCTAGAACAGCAGGTCTTCTATTTCCAGGTCCGACTAGTTTTGAGCCATCATTAAAAACTTGCCTTCTTACTTGATAAGATATTGCCAGCTCGTTTATCAGCTTTGCTGTTGTTGCGGAGGTTAACATGTTGCTAGAAAATGTGTCACTATGAACGTTTCACATAAATTTATAAATGTGTGCCAGTAATGTAACGGAGCAGTTCTGGTAAATTAGCGGGTATGGTACTAGGTCTTGAAATGGTAAATTTATAGGTCAGTTTTGCTATTATTATTCACACATAACCCTGACCCAGTATAAGTTACCTGTAAATTACTTGGTCAGGTTGTAAGTGGAAAGAGGCTTTTTTGCATTTTAGCACAGTTAGCAAAACAGAAGTCCCTGTTTGTTTTCTCTAAAATATTTAAGCTGGCAGCTGCATTTCCAAAGTCCAGTTCATTTCCATTAGAGGAAACAACAGGATAAGCCACTGCTTGGCTATCACACTGTAACCTTCCTGTTATCTGCTCAAATCTCTCCTCTCATTTTATTTCATTTACTGCCTAAAATGATTCACATTCTTAAGTTTAAAGTGACATATTTATCTATCTTTTTCTTCTAACCGGAAGAAGCAGAAATGTTATGGAGTGGCCCAATCAGCGACAGAATTGGGATCTTACTGTTTCCTAAAGATTAGGGTGATGATAATGTGGCTTTCCAGCCTCGAAGACATTAGTTCATCACCAAAGGCTAACAACAAAGAAGTTTAATTAACTGTATACTTCTTATATTTTTATTAGTTTTATGTCTTTTGTGCTTCTTATGATAAAGAAACTGCTACGCTTGAGTTCTCCCCCAGTAACAACTTCCACACCAAAGAGTGGAATAATTGGCATCACCTCGTAGGGTTGGGGTAAAGTGCATTCGCTGACCTGAAATCTGTCAGGTGTGTCGTTTCTGAATGACCAAATTTCACCGACCTGGTCGAGCAAAGATCGGCTGATGATCGGTGCATATCTAGAAGGAAAGATTCTTAGCTTTTCTGGTGCGTTCTCACCAAACATGACTCCAGCAAATTGTGCACATCATTTGCATCCTGTAGCTTGTCATTTCACCAACAATTAGTGCAGACAAGGCAGAGCTTTCCTCAGCGGGTCAACATATCCTCTAGAGATGCTCCTAGTTCGGGAAGTCCAAGATCTGCAGCTGGATCACAGTCGCTTCCTGCGGTACTTCCCTCTGTCTAGGGTTCAAACCTGTCATCCCACTTTGGGGATGCAATGGGATAAAAGTGGAGTGTGCTCCTTCACCCTACCAAACAGCCACATTCAGTCTCTGATTGGATGACGCGATGTGAATGACAGAAAATTTGGATTTTTTTTTACTTTTGAACTAAATTTTCTCTGTGTTTCTGTTTGCTTGATTTGTCTCAATAACAATTGGTCCTCTGCATTGCTTTGCTCTGTCACGCATTATTCATGTTTGGTGGGAACTCACCACTAGGGGTCAGTTTAGTTCGCCTGTGCCTTGGGCCGGTGTAGGTACCAACTCTGCTCGGGTGGTTAGATCTGCTCCGGGTCCTGCCCTTTCTTATGACATCATCATATAGCAACGCCACTTGGACAAACTGTATTAAACCCGTTTCTTGACAATCACATCTCTTCTTCTCACCATATTATTACCTATATTTGCTATGATTTTAAGTTTCATCGGCGTTCTAAAGTAGCCGAAAGCAGAAAAGAATCATTCTCAGTGTTGAAGGAAAACACTGGCTTCTATGACAGACTCTGTTCTGACACAAAAAGTCTCAGTGCTGCTTCTTATTCTTCTTTTTATTATGATCTGAGAACAGGGAAGGACAAATGGAACATCTCAAAAATGACTTTGTAAAGATTTTAAACAAAGAAAACAAAAGTTATTCTACTTGTAGAAAACGAACAGTTGTTAATGACACAATGTTAAAAGTAGTGTATCTTAATATTCCTAACTGACCGAGCTAAAAGAGGCAAACCTGTTAGCTACTGAGCACAGCTAGGCACAGCTCTACTCAGCTCTCCTCCTTTATATCATGTTCTTGCAGTTACTTTGTTCACCATAAACATATTTTTCCACCTTTGTTATCAACCTGGTAGAACTCTATCAGTCATTAGACACACTAACCCTACAGATGCTCCCAACTCTGCAAACAGATGCTGCATTATGTTATTATCGTTGTCTAGGCAACCACAATGTTTTATGGCATATGGCAACGTTCAGCCAATTATATAGAGTAACGTCACTGGCATGCGAAGGGCCTGAGCGGATCTGACCTCCCGAGCAGTTCTGGTACCTATACCGGCTGTGCGAGGCGTTGGTATGGCAGCTCACTAGCGCCACGCTAGGCTGCCAACATCCTTCACTCCTTCTCTCTGTGATGGAATATAAACCAACCCTCCATACTAGCTGCACTAACGCCTCATTTCACATGGTTCTTCCTCTGTGCAAACCCAACGTGGAAATGAGATATGGCTAAACCTAGAAATGTGAGCAGGAAAACCCACCCTTAAAGAGCAGAGAGATTCATCACATACTGGTCAAAAAAGAAACACTTCATAAACACATGTTAATACACACTTAGGGCACATCAACCGGATAACAATCATGCTCGTTATCTTCCTGCAACTCTTCAGTAGCATCACTGTGGCTTTTTTTTTTCCCACAACCAGGACCCAGGACAATAAAATGGTCTAAAAGACCCGAGTGACAATAATAAGAAATAATATAAAGCAGGAGGGAAAAAAAAAGTGACCAATCCAGTAGAATAATCTGTTCTTCATCAACACATACCTTCAAACATCTTCTGTACATCAATGTGTAAGGAGTTAGAACCTGTACAAACTCGTCTGGTATGGGTGTGTTAGCTGTTAGCAGAGTAATGCTCCATGTTGGATACTATGAACTTTACAGAGTAGGTGTGTTTAAACTTTGTGTCCATATATGGTATCGTCTACCTATTACTGTACATGTCAGGTGTCGCCCAGCTCTGTAGAAATTAAGCACCTAAACGTGGAACGACTGACTTTTCCAAAAACAAGAAACCCTTCTAGAAAATGTGTTTTATTGTCTCTGGGAAGAGGAGATAAGCGTTGGTTCACAAAGGGCTGGTTTCACGGGTCAGAACCCCCCGTTTGGACAGCTGCTCTGGAGACACCACAAATGACAGCTAATAGATGCACCTCAGTCAAACCCATTTTCAGCCCAATCTTTTCTAGAAATGCATTTTCTAATGTTTTTTTTTTCTAGTTCTTTTTTTGCAGAAAAGGTAAAAGTGTTGCATCAATATAATGTTTTTTTCGCAACATCTCTGAATAGTTCCAGCTTTCTTCACGCTGCACAGATTCATTCATTTCAGAACAGCTCCAACTTTGGGCTTTTGCATAATAGTCTTGATTGTTTCACAACACGTCTTAACCTTAAAAACCGAGTCGTCAACGGCTGTCACGACACAGACTAGTGGATCAAACTTGGACTTGTTAGATTGATGAGATTATTTAGCTAATGGTGATACCTGTATAGCCCTTGGGTTTGCTGCTACACGCAGAGCTAATTTTCTAGTATAAGCAGGATATTTCCAAGTGTTATTATTAATTTTTTACAGACTGCATAAGCTGGATTTAAGATTTGCATTAAAAAACAACAACTTTTGACTGGATTAGCTAAAGAATCCCGTTACAGTGCGTGTACGGCAGGGCATGTCGGGGTGTTTGTTTTCCATCTGTGACTGTTGGGTGTATTCTAGGTGACGTATGGCTTTATCTCCACAGAATACTGTTTTTTTATCTTTGGGGCAGGGTTGCATGGGTGTTCATCAGGATGTTTTTGTCACGTTTGTCAAAAGTCAGGATCGTTGTGTCGTGTTTGATGTCTCTGACTATTCACAGCTCTGAAATGCTCATGATGACTGCAGGGTTGAATCCTTCTCTTCACCCCTCAGCCTTGGCCGCGATCTGAGGCGAGGTCACCGCTGTAGAGGGCGGCTGGGTGAGGGCCGACAGTTCAGGTCTTTCTCATGAACTTCCCTCTTCCCTGAACCTCATCCTCCTCGTCTTTCCCGGTTCTTAATGCCCCTTTTGTTCGGGTCCTGTAGCGGGTCACTTCTTGTGGAAGTAGATGGTGTGAGTGAGGCCTGACTCCACCATCGGTATCTGGTCTCTGATGATCTCAACCAACATCTCAGGGAACTCCACTTTCAGGGCCTGTGACTCTCGGAAGGTGTAGAAGCAGAAGTCCAGCAGGTTCCCGACGAGCTGCGCATCAAAAACACAGAACGTCATGAAAACAAACACCTTTCTCACCTTACAACTCCAAGGTTTGGTGTAACTTTAACACAGATGGAGCTTACTGATAATCTGTAAAGAAAATGATGCATATCCTCATGTGCCCCAACAGTGTGTGCCGGTATCTGTTTTGGGGTTTTTTACTCAGCAATTAAAAAACATAATTTCAAAAACTTGGTTTCAAAAGAAAGCTAACATTTGGTAGAGTCCACCAGAAGTGTCAGCAAGACCACAGTTGCGTTGTTTTCAGAGAAAAGAAAGATGGTATGAATAAATGAGAATTTTTTCCCCCCTCAAATGATTTTTTTATGCATTTTACTATAAATAAAATTCTTAGAAATATAATGAAAAAGGTCTTAGAAAGAATAGATCCACTTGTAGACATTACTTGTCCAAACATAATCTAAAGCAAAGTTATAAAGGTTACAATAAAAACATATCTAGGCCTCCTATAGCACAGTTTTACCAAATCTACAAAAGGAGTTTTTTTCTTTTTACTTCAAATATATGAAAAAAAAAACTTTCTTACAGTGTTTCTGAAATTACTTGATTGTTACTTGATTTTCAAACACAAACATCTAATTTTCACCCAGTTTCACTGAAACAGTCAGTCTGTTACTGGAAGCCAACTGTATGCAGATGATACAGTCGTATATCCGCAGGGTAAACTTTGATTTATATTCACACTGTACAAAAATGGCTGACATGTTCGGGTCTTTTTTTAAACTAACCTACCTGTTGAGTTTGCAGGAATCTGCAAGTTAAATGTGGTTCAACAACACAAATACTTCGGGGGCATTACTGATTTAAAACCGTCCTTTAAGTCTCAAAGAAAGACACCGATAGAATAAATTCATGTTGGCAACAATTCAGCAAATACAACATAACCAAACTCATGAAGCAGCAAAATATATACTTTCAGTGCCAAAAAAGTAACCATCAATCTCTCCGTTCCTCAAAATACATAAAACCAGATTAGATTTTGTGATGTCATTCCTACAGTATCTGTACAATATTAAATGGTTTGGCTTTGCCTCCTCTGAAGGATTTTATCCACCTTAAAGGTACATAGTCACATTATTTGACATTTATCTAATGTCTATAAAAGTAACCACTTCTTATGATAATTTAGGGTGTCCTCTTGATGTAGCATTTGTCATTTTTGCCTTTTGAGCTATTTTTATCTGTTCAATTGGTTAGAGAATACAACCTTCCTGTGTATACTGACCATAACAACATCTTTTGACTGGAATTATGTCAATGCACATACGTACAACTGGTCAACAAGCCGACACAATGGAGGCGAGCGAGTGTGGAACTCAAAGAATAGATGGGAAAAAAAGGAAAAGTCGAAGATCAAGTGTAAAAAGGCGCAAGAACTTTGACTCCAAGAGAGATAAAAGTGAAGTTGTGTTAGGAAAATTGTCTTACTAATAGAATACATTAAAACTAGAGCTGAGAATCAGGAAGTGTTCTGATGTTGCCGCGAAGTTTCCAGCTTTTTATTGCCACTACACTGTCAACGGTACAGAGCAACAAAATGAACTCTCTGGACTTAACCCATCCCCTTGGCGAGCAGTGGGCTGCCATTGTGC